GCAGGGCTCGATTCCAGGACCCCGGGATCATGACCTGAGCCGAAGGCAGATGCTCAACCGACTGAGCCGCCCGGCGCCCTAGTTGTCTCCATTTTACGGGGAAGAAACTGAGGCACAGAGAGATGAAATCAGTTGATGGAGTTAGGTGTTGAGCCCAGGTGCTCTGAGCCCATGCGTGGCCCTAGTTACTGTGCAGTTTGCCTTTGTACTTTAAATTAGAGAGCCGAGGGACCCACTGTGCTGCATGATGGCAGCCAATTTCCCTGCCAAAAGCCATGCATGTGTCCCTGGGAAAAACCTTTCCCCAGGCGCTCGTGAGCTCTTACCCCCAACGCCTACTGTTTGGGAGCCCCAAGTGGCTCTCCAGAGTACACTTCTGCAGTAGACATCTGTCACTCATGTGGCCCACATGGCATGCAAACTTCCTTCCTGTGCTTGAAGAAGCCCCAAGTACTTTAAGGAAGAATCTGCTCCCCTCCATCAAGTTGAAAATACTGGCTACTTGTCTTGCCAGCCTCCCTTGCAGCTCAGGATTTGACATGTACCTAGTTTCCACCAGTCAGATGGTTCTAGTTCACCCTTAGAACTGGAAGCCAGTGACCCAAAGAAGAGGCAAGAAATGCAAATTGTTCAGTTCAGTTTCCCAAGATTCTGGTGGCAGCGCCCATGGAGCCATCATGGATAGTGTCAGTAGGCAAGATAGAGTGTCTGTGCCCAACAGTAGAGCCTGGCCAGCTTGATTTGGGCCATTAATCCTGGTTTCACACACTCCAAGGTCGCCTCTCCCACCCTCCAGATGTGTGAGCTGGCCAGACGAACGCTCCTTTTCTGCTTGAATTAGTGATAAGCGGTTTCTCTTGCTTGCAACCAATAGCTCTAACAGGGGCACTGGCGTTAGGTTGCATCGGGTCAGCCAAGAATGGAATTCTGATGGTGAGAGGCAAGCTGGGGCTGTACCAAGCAGATCCAGGGACAACCTCAAAACTCCCAGAGGTGGGACAGACAGCTTGTCATTAATGAGGCCAAGAGGAGGCCTTTGGGAGGCACTCCTGAGTATCCGAGACTGCCCAGCTTCCTGTAGCCCCACCAGATGACATTTTCTTATGATCTGGATTCTAGACAGAGAAAAGCAAGAACTTAACCTTGAAAGTTATGCAGTGTGGTGGGAAAATAAAGGTTTACAAAGAGACGTGGGTTTGGGTCCTGACCCTTCCACTTACTGGCACTCCCTTAACCCCTCTGGGCCTCCGCTTGCTCCTATGTAAAAGAGGGGTTAGCAGTTTAAATGCTTTCGTCTGTAAGAACTCAACATCCCAGTCCGACTGGAATAAAAAAAATAAAGATGTTTATTAAGTCATGACATTGCACTTGAAGATGTAGGTCAACTTGATCCAAAGCTCCGTCTCCATTCTTGGTGATTTCTCTTGGCTCTGCCCTTCTCTGGGTTCAGCTCCCTCCTCAGCTGGATGTCAGCCAACTGCTTAAGTTCTGATGCCACATCTGCTCACAATAACATCAGAGAAAGACAAGGCATTGCTCCTAACATCCAGAGAATCGGGACCAACTTCCCTGACAGTGCATAGCAAACCATTCCAGCCCTCTCACTGGTCCAAATTGGGTCACATGCCCATTCTCCAACCAATAGCTGTCACCAAGGGAAGACCACATGCTGATTGGCTTAGGCCTGAACTCCTGAACCAATCACTGGCAAGAGTTATCAGACTATCATGATTGACCCAGGCGGCGGTTCTCAGACTTTTGTTCTCAGGACGCCCCCAGAACACGTTTAAAACTAAGGGTGGTTGCGGGCGCCTGGGTGGGTCAGTTGGTTAGGCGACTGCCCTCGGCTCAGGTCATGATCCTGGAGTCCCGGGATCGAGTCCCGCATCGGGCTCCCTGCTCGGCGGGGAGTCTGCTTCTCCCTCTGACCCTTTTCCCTCTTGTGCTACTTCTCATTCTCTGTCTCTCAAATAAATAAATACAACCTAAAAAAAAAAAAAAAACACAAAAACTTAGGGAGGTCTCCTACAAGCTATTGTTTCTATGGATTCTACTTATTCATGTCACCAGGTAGAAATTAAAACTGAAAAAGATTAAATATTTATTCGTTTTAAAAACAACAATAAACCCACTACATGTGTTAGTATAAATAACATATTTTATGAATAATAACTATACTTCCCAAAGCAAAAAAAAAAAAAAAGTTACTGAAACGGGTGGCATTATTTTACACTTTGGCAAATTCTCTTTAAAATCTGGATCCACAGAAGATAGCAGGTTTCTCATACCTGAGTGCTGCTTCTGCACTCAGGCTGTTGCAATATGTTGTGTGGGTTGTAGTTTATGAAGATAGTCCAGCCTCATGCAGAAATGTGCTTTGGGAAGTGGAGGCCTCACAGACTTCTGGGAAGGGTCCCAGGGACCCCGGTAGTCCTCAGAACACACTGTGACAACCACTTGCTTAAACTAACCAGGGCTCCTCCCTGGAGCTGGCCAGGGTCGGATCCTACAAACTGCGTGGCAGCTTCACCTCGGGGGCTGCACAGGTGTTGAGAACACACCCACGATGTCCAGTCCATGGAGATGTTAATCGCTCCTACTCCATTGGGTTGTTAAGAGAGAACTAGAGGAGATTATGTATGTAAAGCACTTGACACGGGGCTTAATAAATGGTACCCAGGAGTGAGGAAGGACTTCAGGTGAGCACAGGTAAAAGCAAGAATCCATCACTCACATGAACTGACCTCTCAGTGCCTTTCCCCAGGGTCGTCCACCCACATGCATCCCTTTATGCCATTCTTGCTACATCTCTGAAAGCAAAGGCATACCATAATTGCTACAGGGAGGAAATGGGGCTGTTATTCTACAGAGAGTGAGAATCCGTTGAAGCCATCTAACTCGAACACTTGAGTTTTCCTGAGCAGAATGAGAGGCAGAAGCCGGAGTTGGCATAAGTCAGGGATCAGGGTGAGCCTCGGATTTGCTGATGGTCCCTCGCAAGGGCAGAACTGGGCCCTTTCTCAGGAGTGCCCGTGCAGCTAGAGTAAGATGCAGTCCAGGGGCCGGAAGCCAAAGCAAAGCATCCCGTGTCAACACTGGTCAGCAGGTTGGAGCTGGGGACAGGGAACTGAGAACCAGATGGCGTCAGGAAGTCAGAGCAGAACAAGGGAGAGCAGATAAGGCCTTGGTGATTTGGTAAAAGGAGCAAGACGTTTCAGGCCAAAGTCAGAACCTCTCGCGTGGAGGGAACAGCGGGGGCACATGTGCGTGTGTGTGCTCATGCAGCTGGGCAAGCCGCTCATATGACTAAGTCCCTAGGGACTAAGTCCCTAGAAGGGAAAAAGAAAGCGATGGTGTTATAGGCTGGCCATGACACAGCTCGCAGAGTGATCCCAGTGTCAAAAGACCTGAAGAGGGTAGGGACTGGTACCCTAGCACTGAGTGCACTGCACGTACTGACTACTTCATGACGATTGGTTGGATGAATGACCCTGTATCCTTGCCCCTAAGAACCATCAAAATATCCCAGAACTTCCAATGCTTCAGCATCCTGATTACATCTCCCAGACTCCCCCTCGCTCCCAGGAGTGATACAAAAAGCCTTCAGCTGACAATGAGTTTGGATTTGGGGCTGCGAACACCTGCTTCCCTCCGAAGGCAGTGAAAGGAGCCCTGCTCTGCAGATCAGGAGGTGCTGGTTCTATCCCCAGCCCCTCACTAGGTTGATGTGTCATTGACAGCTTGTCAGTTTCCTTCTCGGAGACTCAGGTCTCCCAGCTCTGGGGGGACAGCGTCATCAGAGGGGCATCTGAGAATGTGTGCTGAATGAGGGGCTCAGGATCCCAACAACAAGGAACATAGAATGTTCCACTAGGTAAGGTTTGCAGGTGGGACCAGGGAGGCAGCTTGCCAGCTGAGGGTCAGGGCACCTGGAGACGTTGGACTGTGGCTACCCCTGGTGATGTGTCCCCTCTCAGCCCTGGTAGCCCTTTCGTAGAGCCCCTTGACCTCGGCGAGCCTCCAGATGAATGCCGGCCTCTGACCTGATATAGGTCAAAGCCTTCCGCCTGGGTTTCAGGGTACCTGCTGCCGGTAGCTGAGGCCTGGGAACTTGGGTCTGGGCCATGAGGAATGATGTGCAGGAAAGCAGTCATTTTCAGTCCTGGGCTCAATCTCCTTTTTCCAAATGTGAGGTTGGGGAGGCAAAGAGAGAGGGAATGAATGGTTATCAAGCACTTGTGATATGTCAAGCCTCTGTTAGACTCTCGAACTACAAACATGACTTTCTTTCCGTAGGGTAAGTATCAGTGTCCCAAGAAATTTGAGAGAGCGGTGCAGTATCTTGACCAGGATCCCAAAGGCAGGCTTTCAGGATCCCGTCTCCTCTGCATCCCTCTCCCGTCTTCTCCCTGCTCTCCACTCCTCCCTCACCTCCTCTCTTGTCTCCTTCCTTCCCCCATCCCCTCTCTTTCCCACCCCTCCTCTTCCTCTGGGTCCCTGGAAGGTAACCAAGACTCCACAACCACCTCTGCACCCTCGGGGGATATGAGCAGCTGCCTTAAGAAGCAGTGTCCTCATTTCACTCTCCCTTTGTGACCCTGGACTTCCGCCCCAGCCGTTTAGCGCGTTGGGTTCCTACCGCCTTCTCCCCTCTGCCAACAAAAGCCAGCCGTAACCCTGCCTTCCTGCCCGCCCCCCTCCATCCTCCAAAGTAATGTCTTTCCTCCCTCATTCTTCTTCCACTGCTCCAGGCCTGTGGCTGCTTTCACAGCAGGCCCATGGGGTCCGGGCCAAGTTTGCCAGGAAGGGCTGAGATGACTGGGGAGGCAGAGCCCGCTGACCTGCACGCCCCTGGGGCTCTCGATTGTTTGCTCGCCCCAGCAGCTGCACCCCGGCGTGCGGTCTGCAGAGTTGTGGTGGCCACTGAGAGCACGGAGTCTTCTGCACCACACCCCAGAACCACTTCTTAGGGGGGGCCATCATGACGCACCCTGGAGCTCTGCTCTGATCTCCCTGGGGAGAGATCCTGCGCTTCGCAGATGCTCATGGGGGGAGCTGAGAGCTCCAGCTGTGCAGTCAGCTCTGCCACTTGGCATAAGTTGAAGCCAGTGGGTGCCTCCATTTCACCATCTGCAAAATGGGTACAAGAGTAGTAACTACCTCAGACGGTCATCGGGAGGGTTGCATGCCTGGGAAGAGCCTAGGCACCGAGTCTGGCTCCTAGGGAGGGCCTAGCAGGTGGGTACAGCTACTACTGTGCCGAGGTCTGTCTAGCTAGTTCCGTTGTCCGGAAATGGGAAGTCATTGGAAGGAGAGGGTTGCTGGCACGGTTAGTCCAGGGAAGAAAGTCTCCTTACCCAGATAGCCATGATTCTGGGGTTAGAGACAATGCCTGCTGGGGTACGCTGTGCAAACTGTCCACAAATTTACTCACTGAACAAATGATGAACATCTGCTTTGTGCCAGGCGCTGTTCGAAGGGTCAGGATTCAGTGGTGACGAGAGACAGATGGCCTGTGTCCTCAACAGCCTTATTGTATGGTAGAGAAAGACAATCAAGGAGCATTGAACAAATCATCTTGAGGTGCATACATGCTATGAGAGAAAGAAAGTGTGGTAATCAGTTTGGGGCCAAACCGAAGGGAGGGGCTGCTTCAGGTGGGGAGGGGGGCAAGCCCCTCTAGAGAGCTGGCATCTGACTGAGACCTGAACAGGGAGAAGGACCTGGGCATAGATGGGACAGGGCAAGAGCCCTCTAGGCAGGAGGTGCAGCACGTGCCAAGGCCCTGAGGTGGGAAGCAGCTTGGCTTAGTCACAAGAGAATGAGGCCTGTGGAGGTTTGTGAATGAAGTCAAAGCAGGGAAGGATGGGGTTTGGGGGGACCAGGCAGGGGATGGACCATGCCATTTATGCCACAGTCGAGAGTTCCAAGTTTGTCCAAAGAACAACCGGAAGTCAGTGGAAAGTTCTGGGCAGGGGGTCACATGGTCCAATGGGCTATAAGTCTGGCTTTTGGGTGGAGTCTGGCTAGAAAAGGAGCAAGATGAAAAAAAGTAAAAAAATAAAAAGAAAGAAAGAAAAGGAGCAAGATGGTGGCAGGGAGGCCACCGAGAGGCTTTTGCCGTGGTCCCAGAGAGAGAGGGCGGTGGCTCGGCCCAGGACTGCAGCAGGTGGCGTGGCGAGAAGCCATTGGATTCAAGTTACATTTGGAGGTGAAGCCAGGAGGACCTGCTAGTGGGTGGGTCCATCCGGGTCACACCCCAAGAACAGCCACAGCGGGAGAAGCTCCCTGGCAGCCCAGTGTCCAAGATCAAGGCACAAAGGACTGTTAAAACTGTGTCCCCGTACCTGCCTCTCTGGGCTGTCTCATCAAAGCTGAGAGTCAGTGCCAATATATTCGAGGGGATGAGAGTGACACGCTGAGTTATGGGGACGTGGCCCCGAACCGGTGAATCCCCCTCTTTGGAGTGCTGGGAGGGTCTCCAGTGGTGGCAGGCTCTCTCCACTGATGAAACCCATAAAGACAATTCATGCAGGTGGATAGCATATGCATACAGCAAGGCACTCATCCGCTGAGCAGGTTAGGGACGCAGGGCCCCAGCAAAGCGTGAAGCACCTGGAAAGCCTGTCCTAACAGCCTTAACAGCATGCCCCTAACATCACTGCCTACTCGAAGCAGCTGTGGGCCAACAAGGACTGAGGACCTGCTCTGATGGACCTAAGTCTCTCTCGGCTAGGAAGCCCAAGGTTTGGAGAACTGCAATTTTTATCTTCCACATTATTTCCAAGGGGATCCGAATACACAGCTGGAGCCAGAAAATACAGGTCCTTTCAAAAGCCAGCTTTATAGACATTCTGGAAAATGGCATCATTAAGCCCAGGTGAATGCGGTGGAAGTTCTTACAGAAAACTCAGTGAGAGGAGGGGGGCGGGCAGCGGACGCGCCCACGGGGAATGAAGGGTGTGGGCAGGTCAGCCTGGGAACGTCAGCGAAATGTCCTGTTCATTGTTGGTTTGGAAATCAAAGCGATTAACCTCGCAGACACATACATTATAAATAATCCCTTATTTGCTCCTTCCCTCCCCTCTCCTTTTTTCCTACCGTGGTCTCTTGGGTCACCCACTAGGAGGCCAGGTATAGGAGATGCAAGGAAAAGAAAAAAAATAAATATAAATAAACGCTAATAACCCCTCCACGCCTGTGAATTCAAACACGGGATCCGGACCAAGCTTTGCAAGGACAGAGGCCAGGAAGTTAAGTTTTGTTTGGCGGCCCTGGGGCCGCTTGGACATTGACCACCAGTGCAGATTTCCTCTTCGTCCCAGCCCTTCAGGCCTCGGTAGCCGGGTGGGCACCTTTCTCTCTGCCGAAGGCGGGGGGCAGGGGGGTGGCCTCCTCTTTCAGCTCCCGGGAGCAGACTTCACCCTGGGCACTTGCGAAATCAGAGGTCAGGACTTCTCTTCCCCGGCGCATTCCCCAGATGGGCCGAGGGAGGATGAAAGTGGAAGGCTGAGTCCTGCTTTATTGTCCTTTGTGGCTAAAGATAGAGATGTACCAGGGTGACGTGTGAATCAATTTGCTGGGCTGAGAAACAAGCTCACCGTGCTCTCTACCATCCCTGGGTCCAGGCTTGGTAAAAAGTTGTTTTGTTTGAAAATCAATTTTGAAACATTACACTGGAAACAAAATGTAAGTTAAAAACTCACGGTCCCATTAATCTAATATTAGGAGGTAACATTTCTTGAATGCTTACTCTGTGGCAGACGCTGTGCTAAATACTTTACAGGTACTTAAGCCAATGAGGGAGGCAGCATTATCATTCCATTTTACAGATGGGGAAACTAAAGTCCTGGGGGTGTTAAGCAATCTGCTAAAGGTCATACAGATCGGGCAGGATTCTTGTCTTAATCTCCCCTCTTTTCCAGTGCCTGGAATCCAGTGAACGCATATGCTAGGGGAGGGCTGGCAGGGCAACTGGTTGGTTAGTTGGGTGATGAGCTCACTGGACTGGTTAAGCAGCAAGATTGTGAGGGGCCCAGCCTTGAGTCAGAAGACCCAGGTTCCAGCCTCAGTGCCGCCACTTCTGAGCTGTGCGGCCTTGTGGCCATGACTTCCCCCCTCCATGGGTCCTCAGAAGAGGGACAAGGGAATTGCCTTCTATGGTCTGGGTTTTGGACTGAGGAGATAAGTGCATCTAAAAGCCTGGTGCATGGTAGGTTCTTAATAATGGCTGCTGTGATGCAGAGTTCCAGCTGGGAGGACAGCTTTGCAACCCGGTTCCAAAAACAAGGGCCACGTGGACATGGGTTTGCAGGACTCGGGAAGTCTGCACCCACTTCAGGCAACAGCATGGACAGGTCTGTCGGGTCTCTGCTCGGGTCTCTCCAGATGCAAATGAAGGGGTGTTCCACCCAGCCCGAGATGTGTGCATCTTCCTGCTGGTGCCACCAGCTCCAAAGATTCCTCTTCCCCACGGGGCAGGAAATGCACTTGGAGCAGAAAAATCCCCGCTGGCTCGTCTTGCCGCCGCCTGCAAAATGGGACCAAGTAGCCAGGGCCCCGGCATTGCAGCTAGAAAGGTCCTGTGGACCTGCGTCCAGGAAATCCTCCAAGGGTTTGCTAACCAAATATTAACAGTAAGGATAAACCAAATACTTCATGCAAATGCTTAATAAGAAAATGACACACCACGTGAATGCAGCTTGCCGTTAACTACCCAGGGGAACGTGGATATGAACAGGGGACAATTGACGGTTTAACAGGATATGACTGCCCTCGAAGTATACGGATTTTTTTTTTCCTCTTTCTTTCTCTTCCCTGAGCAGGCTTGACTTTCCTAATCAGTTCGCTAAAAGTGGATGTTAAAGTTTGTTTTCATTCCTTGACCTAGTTGGCAGTGGCGGGACAGGAGCAGGACATGCAGGCACGGGCCACATAGTAAGGGAAAGTTAGCTTCAGAAATGAGCAAGTGACCTGTGGACCCATGGAACGGAATTGAGAGTCCAGAAATAAACCCGTGCGTATACGGTTAACTAATGTTTGACACGGGAGCCAAGGATACTCAACGGGGAAAGATGATCTCCTCGATAATTGAGATTGGGAAAAGTGAACAGTCACATGGAAAAGAATGGCACTGGACTCCTATCTTGACACCACTCACAAAAACTAACTCAAAATTGTTTAAGGATGCAAATGTAAGACCTGAAATCATAAAACCCCTGGAAGAAAACAGAGGAGGGGAGCTCCGTGACGTTGGCCTTGGAGATGATTTTTTGGGGGTACGATACCAAAAGCACAAGTAAGAAAAGCAAAAATCAACACATGGGACTAAATCAAACTCAACTAAAATGCTTCTGCACAGCAAAAGAAACCGCCAACAAAATGAAAAGGCAACCTACGTCAAAAACTAATGATGTACTGTATGGGGACTAACATAACATAATAAAATAAAATTTAAAAAAACGAAAAGGCGACCTACACAGTGGGAGAAAACACTTGCAAACCATATAGCCGATAAGGGGCTAAGATCCAAAATATGTAAGGAACTCAGACAATTCAATATGAAAAAAAATCCATTTTAGAAATGGGCAGAGGAACTAAATAGACATTTTTCCAAAGAAGACATACAAATGACCGAGTACATGAAGAGGTGCTCAAGATCACTCCTCATCAGGGAAATGGAAATCAACACCACACATTCTTACTTCACACTTGTGAGAAATGCTAGTATCAAAAAGACAAGAAATAACAAATGTTGGTGAGCATGTGGAGAAAAGGGAATCCTCATGCACTGCTTGGTGGGAATGCAAACTGGTGCAGCCGCTCTGGAAAATAGTATGGAGGTTCCTCAAAAAAATTCAGTACGAAATTACCATATGATCCCCCAATTGCACTTCTGGGTATTTATCGAAATACCAAATATCGAAATAACGAAAACACTAACTCAAAAAGAGACCTGCGCACGCGTGTTCACTGCAGCATTATTTGCAAGAACCAAGACATGAAAACAACCTAAGTGTCCATCAACGGTTGAGTGAATAAGAAAAATGTGATACACACACACACACACACACACACACACACACACACCGTGGAATATTATGCAGCCATAAAAAATAATGAAATTCTGACATTTGCCACAACATGGAAGACATTATGCTAAGTGAAATAAGCCTTCAGAGAAAGACACCCGATGGTATCACTTATATGGGGAATCTGAAAAAAAGTCAGACTCACAGAAATAGAGAGTAGAATGGTGGGTACCAGGGGCTGAGGCGTGGAGGAAATGGGAGCTATTGGTTAAAGGGTACAAACTTCCAATTATAAGAGGAATAAGTTCTGAGGATCTAATGCACAGCATGATGGCAGTCATTAACAATATCGGATTCTATCTGTGAAGTTGCTGAGCAAGTAGACTTTCCATGTTCTCACCACCACCACCACAAAATGGTAATTAAGTGAAGCGAAGGATGTGTTAGCTGACCTTAGCATGGTAAACATTTCACAATGTATACATGTTTCAAATCATCACATGGTACACCTTAACCTCACACACTGCTATATGTGAATTTTATCGCAATAAAGCTGGGGGTGG